CCAACTTTGAGGACGATTCATCGATCAAGGGTCTCTCGGCGGCTCAGAAATCACTGGCATTGCCAAACATCCAAGCCCCGTGGGCTACACAAGAATTTAGCACAAAGATATGGGACGGCACGAATTGCGACGAGGATCCCACCCTGCCGACAACGATCGCGAAGATTGGATCATGGCCAAAGGACACCTGAAAGAGGGGTTACAAATCAAGCGCACTACACTATCGAAACCACACAGCCGAGGCACATCGTCTGGCCAAGGTGGACCCCGACCACGCTCAGACTGAACCGAGCGGGTGATGCGGCGGGCGAAGCTTGGATGACGACTAAGGAACGCCACACATCACCCAATCGCTAGATCTATCGCTGAGTGGGAAACCCTAAGAAGAAATCGGTTGAACGCCTCCTCTCCTCCCCCCTTTGTACGCCACATTCCCTCGTGCGGCTGTCTCAACCCTTTGAGTCTCGACGCTGTAGCGGAGGGAGGGGATGGAGGATTCGATACGCCTGAGACCCCCGTTTCTCGTAAGGCTCGATGGCGTTCAGTTTCAGCACTGCGGTTTCACAAAACGTTGCTGCAGAGAACTAGATCCGTAGATCCGATCTAGAGAGTCATCATTGTCGACTCGACGGGCTACTTTGTGGGGTGAACGATTTAGTCGGGGACACCTATCGGCGTGCTGCCGAATCTGAGCCCAACCCAGCACTCCATTCCCCTCCGACATCTCCACGAATACAATTACCAACATGTTATGAAATCAAAATAGACGAAGGCGAGCATGGCAGGCAAGACCTCGAGCTAGGTATAACCAGTTGCCTCTGAAGTGCTACTTTCACCGGTTACGAGCGACGGAGTAATTACTTGGATCTTTGATTTGGGCTGCGTACACCAAAAAAAGCCACGGTCACCGAGCAAGGCGTTCTACGGCCGGAACAAACTTTTGCGAGATATTCTTTTTTGTGATTTTCATTTAATGATACATGGGCACAGGAGCGCGAGCTCCTATTGTTATCTTTCAGGAATACCCCCGAGCTAGGATAAAAATATGAAATTTGGTGTTGATGAGCCACTCGTGGCTTCATCGTTGATAAAAAAAAATAAAGATTTCCAACATGCTTCGCACATTGTGATGACTGAGGTTTTGTGAGTGAGTGGCATCCTGTGTGCGGCTCTTTGCTACCTCAAGGAAGGGAGTCGGAGAATAGGTACTGACACGTCCGCGGGGGAATATTCGGAGCCAGCGGGATGGCACGGGTATCCTGGCCGTTTGTTGCACCAGTGTTTTCCCTTGGTGAACGTTTCGACTATGTTGGATTTTATGGTGCTTCATAGGCTGGGCGCCGTGGCTGGGTCCTGTACGGAACGGTAGCACCCGCTTCTCCCGCCCCCCCCCCCCCCCTCATCACGGTTTTGTGAAAAGAAGGCTTTGTAATGGGTGATAGTTTCATCGTTTGTTGGTTATCTGGTCTTGGTGGCTATATTTGTTTCGGGTACGGTACCTAGGCTATAGGCTGTGTGTAACATGATGAGAGGTAGGGAGTCTCCGAGCTAAACGACTGTGGAACCTCAATGTGTAAGTTCTAGTGATATGCTTATCTTACAAGCATATATGACTGACTGAGGAGGACTGGATCTAGAGCACGAATAGTTGAGACTCAGATCTTCGATTCCAAGTGGGCGGCAAGCATGGTCACGACGGGATATGCTACCTCGATTATACTAGCCTCCCTCAGCCTTCTAGATAAGCAAACCCAAGCGAATGGTAAATGATTTTTCCTAAGCTGACTCTTCTACGTTAAATCTGCCTAGTCTTGGCTATCTACTCTTGGCTGTCTACTCTTACATCTCTATCTTATTCTGCATGCAGGCTACCTCAAGCCAGGTCAAGAGCTTCCCATCGTTGGTTAGGTCGCCTGGCCTGGGGCATCACAAGTCGTGGCAAGCTCCTTGAACGTTTTCCTCTTTGTGCAAGCTTCGCTACTCTAATTTTATCCCTGTTGTACGTGCTTCTTTGGAACTATGCGTACCGTGTTCTGATGAACGCAGACAGGCCACTTGAAGAGCCGGCGTCTGGGCGACCCACTTTCACCGGCACTCGGATCCGGAGACAATGAACGGCTCCGAACGGAGAAGCATTCGCCGGCAGACTAGAAAAGAAGTCCCGCACCTCAGCCTCGCTTTTCCCACTGCTGTTTGAAGATGGGGGTAAGTGATCCGCTGGAGCAGGTTGACTGTGCCTCCTTTGGATGAGTTAAAAATGCAGTGCATGATGCAAGCCAAACGAGGAAACTGCAGTTTTCAAGCCGACCCCCTTCCCCCCACCTCCCACCTCTCTACTTATCTCCTCTCCTTGCCCAATAACTGAGCAGAGGCCAGCACTCCGGCATTCCAAAACCCTCTAAATAAGTTGAGAATGCTGTTCCAGACTTGATCTAAGACTGCATCGAAGATGCAAATCGAGTGTAAAAACCACCAGCCTGCACCAGCGTCCAAGCCCTCACAACTGGTGGACAAAAATGAGGTCGGAGTCGCAGCATGCCAGGCGTCCACAGCGACGCGCATCCAGCGTAACTCGCTTTGTTTGAAGAATTTGAACTACATTACCATCATCTGGAAAGACCAGAGAAGATGGCCAACTTTGGAGAGGATCCGCCGCTGACGTTTGTCTTCAGCCTATTCGAGAAGGGTGTTGAAGACCCTCCGCGTGAGTTAAGAATGCAGTGAACTAGACTCGCTTACTCACTTTTCACGCAGAAAGGAGCCGAGTAAGCATCCCCTTCGAGATCTCTTTGGGCGGGTTAAAGATGCAGTGAATTTGAGTGTTATGTGGCTGGGCTGAGTTGGTAACGCCATCACGATTGCCTTGGACGCCTTTTTTCGGTAATGACGGAGGGGCTGTGGTACGCGGATGACTTCGGCGGACGTGTTCAGTCGCTCAGGTATGGTTGCGCCAAGGCTGAAGATTCGTTCGTGCAAACCTTTGGTTCGCTTTGTCGCTTTCTAAGTCTCGGTGCCCCGAATAGGTCACCAGTCTGACATCACGCTAGGCTCTGTGGCTGCCAGTCTTTGCATTACTCCCGTGGCAGGCAGCTGAGTTCCAAGACCCTCTGCTCTTCCAGCTTCCATTACTGTTGCATCAAGCTTGCTATCCGATTTTACTGACTGCGGTGATGTGGTTTGCCAGAGCTTTTCCGTATGTCTAATTTCTACGATCCCACTTGAGCAGTGAGCCCGGCCGTAGATGTCAGGCGGCGCCAAAGCCCCACTTCCACCGGTAGTCGGCTCCGGTCGTCGTGTAACGGAGCGGGAGGCCTCTGCTGACAATTCGGGGGCAGAAAACCTGGGCCTCATCTACAGTGACCGACTCGCCTCCTTTCTCCGACGACACGGAAACAACAATCTCCTTTTTCGTGAGCTATGAATGCAGTGCAATGAAGAGGATGGAGTGGCTGGCCCGTCACGGGCCCTTTGCGTGAGTTAAGAATGCAGTGAAGATTTGTTTCGTTGAAAGGTTTGAGAATCAGTATCAGTTTGCCAATGCCCAAGTGAATAGTTGAAGTCTGACTCACGATGATGAGTTTCAATCACGAACACAAGCCCTTGAAATCGATAATCACTGCAGGCGAATACTCTCTATTTTACTGCTGCACAGCATCTTCTCGTGCCAAAAACCCAAAATCATTGTTCTCAAAGGAGAAGGGCCATCGATACTCTCACCACCGCTATCAGCTCATGCCCCCCCTCGTCGAAGCATGTAAAAAGGTCTACGTGAAAAGAGGCAACGGCCTCTCGGCCGGGCCGCTTCGCCAGTCACCCCTTCGTCATCAAGCCACAATCTGCACCGCCGGCTTTTACCTCGCAGCCAGCTGAACTCTCAGGGCTCACTTTCTCCCATCTCTACGCGCCTCCCCCCAAACAAGGTCTCAGATGACGACTCCTCCCTCGTATCGCAAACCCCTCTAATTGGTCAGCCAAGAAACTCGACAAATCCCGTCGCGAAGCCCGGGCGACCTCGGTGCACGCGGGGTACCGCACCGGCTCCCTCCCGGGAGCTCCGCTGAGGACCGGTGGGATAGTTATCGAACCAAGAGAGTTCCCGATGGTGGCACAGATGGTGGCACAGCACCACCAGCATCCACCCAACAGGCCTCCCGAGTTCCGAGTCCTTTGGATGCAACCATCTAATTGTTAGTGCCTCCCTTGCCTCCCCGATTGCCGGTTGCCGGGCAGCGGCCAGTCCCCGTGGCTGCGGCCGATCCGACGCCAATGGTAGCCCAGCATATCAAACTACCATTCAGTAAACTACTGCACGTCGGACGGATGTAACGACGTGGGCTGGCAAGCTTCCGTAGCTTGGGGAGCCTCCAACCAACGGCCCAACGCGATGTTTCCTTCTCCCTTTTTTCCCTTACGTTTTTCACCTATTCTCCACACAAAGGAGGCTCCTCCTAGGACTATAACCACGCCATTATGGACCATTACGGGGAGGATCGACTCCCACCAGACAACGGGACCAGTCTCCCAATCAACGGCCCAAATATTAATAGGATCGACCGCGGGGAAGAAAGAGAGAGAGCATGGTGGATGCACAACTAAACCTGCATTGCAGGCTTGCGGCTGGAGCACTGCCGGGATGTGCAGAAAGGCTTTCAGCTTTTTCGTTTGTTGTCACACGTCAGACTGGAGCCACCGCGCCCATCAGGATCCAGAGCAGGGAAACAATACACGACGAAAAGCAGGGAAAAGAAGAAAGAAAAGGGATGGGATTTCCTTGGACTCGCTAAAGACTCGGCAGAAAGAACAAAATCCATATTTACTTACCTCCTCGTCCCCCTTTATGTCCAGCTCCAGTGATTCTGCTCCTTTCTTTCTATTCTCATTCCGCAGCCGCCATCACCAGTGACTGAAGCTTAAAAAAACGAACATCACGACACCTCAACTCCTAATACCAAATCACAACCACACCCACACACCAAACCACCCCAAACAAAACCGCAAACATGTCTTCCACAGCAGTATCAACAGGCACAGCCGCCGCCCCCTCTGCAACCTCGACCTGCACCGCAAGCCTCTACGACACCCCCGAACACGACCGCGTCTGCGCGATGCCCTACGGCGGCAACCACACAGACATCATGTCCGCCTGCTGCAACGACGCAGACGTGGTCGCCTACTACGACAACTGCGGCCTCTACTGCCTCGCCCTAGACCAATCCGTCAAAGACCTCCAGGACTGCCTCTTTGAGCAGGGCGCGGGCTACACCGAGGTCTTCTGCCGCGACAACGGCAACGTGAACGCCTCCGCCACGGCGACGGGCAACGTCGACCCGCCCGCTTCGGCGCAGGCGAGCGTCGTTGCGTCGGGCGGTTCCGGGTCGGGAAGCGGTTCTGCTTCGGCGAGCGGGAGCGGGAGCGGCTCGAGTTCTACTTCGTCGGCGAATGCGGCGGCGGGGGTGCATGTCCCTGCTGGGGTGAACACGCTTGGACTTACAATTGGCGCTTTGCTTCTTTCTGCTGCGACGTTCGGCGCTCTTCAGATCTAAGAAGAAGATGAGTTATCCGAGAAGGAAACAAAGCTAGTAAAATGGGGCGATGGAAATGAATTTTGGATGGGCTATGGAGGTCCCAGATATGAAGTGACAAACGGCCGATCAACATAATGAGATCACATCACAACAGTACGATATTATTCGGTAAATACGGCCGAAGGCAGCTAGCTACCAAGTCCAGCATAATAGCAGCAGAGTACGGAGAAGAGCACGCGATATCCCGTCTGCGTTCACAGGAGGAAATTGTATTTAGCATGTTGTTTCAATCAAGTTAGTACCGAAACTTTTGGGAAACAAAACCGCCTGCGGCGTTCACCGTTCCGTGGAGCACTTGAAATCATTGTAAGCTGACGAGTGTTCCTCGCGAATTCCCACCCGAGGCTCGCAGCCCTGAGAGGCGCCCAAAGTGACCTGCTGTCGCATAAGCGGCACCTACCTTTTGTACATAGTAATCACCTTGGGAAATGCACCATCTCACAACCTGCGCGAACCTGCTAGCGCCCGTCTTTCCTCTGGGATTGGATAGTGATTAGGCCTATTGGCCGGTCCTCCATTCCAGTCTAGCCAAAGCAAGGTACGATGCAAGGACTTCACTGCAATTCAAACTCACTCAAAGTGTCTACGATGTGCTCACCTGAGATGGGAGGTAGGGAGCAAGAGTCGGCGGCGGCGGCGAGAGTGGTGACTGCTCCCAACTTACTAGAAGGAAGCGGAGGAACGTTTGGCACGGGCAATGATCGGAAGGAGCAGATTCAACTGCGAATATGTCGCCTCATGGGCTGATTTGTTTTGTGATTGAACCTCACTATCGCAAGCCAGCACTGTTACACCGTGAACTTGGACGCCGATCCGCATCTCCGCTCTTCCGGCATTTATGTCGCACAGCCTCTATATCCTGCAGCGTAAGCAACGCTATGGGAGTATACGAGTTCACTGCATTGATGATTACGGCGGAGAGCCTGGGAGTGCCGAGGCAGGTGACTCAGCTTTGCTGGGTGAGTTTCACCCATACGGGCGGTCCATCAAACGCCTTCTTTCGCTCATGACGAGGAGATATTCGTCTTTGTGGAGTTCAAGAAGGACGCGCTGCGCTTGAAGGCTGCAAATGGGTCCAAGGTGTTTTGCCCCGACGAGCCAGCGAACGCCTCCCGCTCGGTGATTCCGGACCACCGCGACCGCCGGCTGCCGTTAGAAAGTGGGCCCCGGGCCGTCCCCCCGCACCCCCGAGACTCAATCGCTCGCTGCTCACCTTGTTCGTTCGACGCATACATTCATTCTTCTAGGAGGAAATAAATCAAAGCTCCCAGTGATTTCACTTCATTCATGGACGAGGTAGGCGCACTTATCATACCAAAGAACGTCATGACCAGTGGAACCAGTCAACCAGGTAGATGCCACAGTACTAGGACTTAAAGGAGATAGAGGGACCTTTTGTTAATGGTATGAACCATACTGCCTGACTTTCTGTAAACAGACATAACCGGGAATTCATTCTGTCGTAACATACACGATGGAGAATTTGGAGGAAAGCGTGAGAAGGTGCGAGGCTAGATTGCGGGTAGTGAGACTATCGATAATGTAGTAGCAAGGCCGTAGAGAGACTTTACCCAATACCAGAGAATGAAACCCCTGCTGGACTGGCAATGGCCTTGGATGATCCTGAAGCTTAATAGAATCGTCATGCACCACTAACCACAAACTCGGATTCAGACGTCTCCAGACAGAAATGCTGCGTCAAAGATGCATTACCCTCGGCTACCATACACCCTCGGCTAGGACATGATGCCAGGCCCACACGAGCCCCAAGAGATGGCAGTTTGCCGCTGGCCCATCCCCATTGCGGGAGAATGCTAAATGATACGGATGACGACGGTCTACGGGCCCAGCACTCTGGTAACCATTGTGCGAGGGCGTCGGGGAAAAGCAATGACCCCCCTTGCGGGGAAACAATCTGGGGAAATCGCAGCGCACCCCAGAGAATCCCCACATTCTCCGCATTTCGAACAGCAATCTAAGCATCTTTCTCGAGCTTCTTTCATCTCTACCCCATGTCGGCAGTTCATCTGATCTCGACTTCTGCTGAACATTCTTCCTGCCATCCTTGCCATGCCCATGTTTCCCCCCCTCCGCGATCTCCAGCTTGGCTCCAGCCGGGCTGCCGGGCTGCCGGGCCTCTGCCGGCCATTTGGCTATAAAGATCCCGTCGTGTCCTCCCGCCAAGACCTGATCTAAAGCTGGATCTCGGGCACGGCATCGCATCTCGAGAGGAAAGGCGAAACACCAAGCTCAATCAAACTTCGTCATGCAGTTCGTCTTGACTGCCAGCGCGGCCGCGCTGCTGCTCGCGGCCTCGCCCGCTCTTGGTGCCGGCGTTCCACCGAGCGGTAATGCCACCAACCCTGTCGTCAATCTTGGCTCGGCTGGTTCTTACCTAGGCGTGGTTCAGAACAACGGAACGTATGTCGGAACTCTGACTCTAACCTTGCACCCTTGTCCTTCCTTGTCTTTGATCCTCCCGAGACAAACTACATAGCTGACTCTGAATTTCTTGGATTCGCGAAAAGTGTCGCCTCCTGGAAGGGAATCCCGTACGCCGAGCCCCCCGTCGGCTCGCTCCGCTTCATGCCCCCCAAGGCCCTCGGGGCTCGCGGCTCAGACGTAATCGACGTGACAGACAACGCCCTACGGTGCGTCCAATTCGCCGGCGCGCCGTACGGGGTCATCAACAGCAACATCGTCGGTCCGCGCTCCGGCCCCGGCCAAGAAGACTGCCTCAAGCTGTGGATCTGGAAGCCCGCCAAGGCCAAAGCCGGCGACAAGCTCCCCGTCATGTTCTACATCCACGGCGGCGGCCTGCAGTACAGCGCGGCGCCCAACAACGACTTCAGCGACTGGGTCGGCCAGAGCCAGGACTTCGTCGCCGTCAACGTCGGCTACCGCCTGGGGGCTCTCGGCTTCATGGCCCACCCCGACCTGCCCTCCGCCAACGCCGGTCTGCTCGACCAGCGCCAGGCCCTCCGGTGGGTCAAGCAGAACATTGCGGCCTTTGGCGGCGACCCCGCCGACGTGACCGTCATGGGCCAGTCCGGCGGTGGCTACGCCGTCGTCTCGCAGATGGTGCTCTACGACGGGGACAACCAGGGTCTGTTCTCCAAGGCTGTGCCCCGTTCCGTGCAGAGGTCTCCCAGCTTCCGCGTCGACGAGCTCGCGGACCGCAACGCCGAGTACTTTAAGCTGCTGAACTGCACGGGCGGACAGTCTCAGTTGGACTGCTTCCAAGGCGCCTCTGTTCCTGCACTGGTGAACGCCTACAACGCCTTGCTCAAATACAAGGCTTCTTCAGGGTATGAAACCACCACCTTGAAACTCCCATATGCTGGCGCAAAGATGAAACATTTCCTCGGCTAACAATTTTCTCGGACTGCTAGCGAATTCAACAACCTCACCTTTGGCAGCTCAGGCGCCTTCCTGCCCATGATCGACGGCGTCACCCTAACCGACTCAGTCTCACGGCTCTTCAAAAAGGGCAAAGTCGCAAAGGTCAAGACAGTCGTGGGCTTCGTCAACGACGAGGGCGCCAACACGGCGCCCCGCAACACGAGCGCCCTCGACTCGACCACGAACGGAATCTGGAACCTGACCGACAGCCAGGTCAAGCAGGCCGCAAGCTACTACCCCAACAACTCCACCTTTGGCTACGCCGGCCCAGACAACTTCTTCCTGACCCTCTTCAAGTCGTACATCATGGCCCTCAGCCCGTTCGGGGAGCAAGGCATCACCGGCTCCGAGCGCCTCGTGGGACGATACATGTCCAAAGCCGTCGGCGAGAACAAGGCCTGGGCGTTCCGCTTCAACGCCCCCGGCGTCGGCACAAATTACTCCAGCACCAACCCGTACCCGCTCAACTACGTCGCCCACTCCGCCGACAACAGCTACCTCCAGAACGCCACGGCCGTCATGACGCCCTTTGAAAAGAGCCTCGCGCTCGAGTGGCGCGCCTACATCGGCAGTTTCATCCGCCGCGGCGACCCGAACAAGGAGAAGCTCGCCACCTCGCCCACGTGGCACAGCTACGGCGCCCTGGGAGCAGGGGAGTCTGTCGAGTCCCCCGTGAGATTGGTCCCGCAGTTCGCGTACCAGAGTAACGCGAACGCGAGCTTGCCCACGAGCACGCAGCTCGAGGTGTCGCAAAAGGCTCAGCTCGAGAGGGTGGATTGGTGGTTGACGGATGCCATTTTGGATGCGACTCGCGTGTGAAGACGGAGGGCATGTGAAGACGGAGGGAAGTATTTAGTGCAGCCGTATTCAAATCCTGTCTCTGCCTGTTCCATCCAATGTGCTTAGACAATAGATAATTCCCTCAGTCTCGAGGTGTGAGGCGTCATAGCCTTCTATCACGAGCCCAAGGTCTACATATAGTTAATGTTGAATGACTAGTACTTAGCTATCTCATATTTCTACTACTCTGTAGTGTGTTCAACAGGTATGGAAATTTTAGGATGGGCCAATTCAGCAAGCCAACCGCACACCACGGGAACGATAGCTCGGGGGAGCATTGAGGACGCGGACCGGAGGTGGGTGTATTCTCAAGTTCTAGACCTCGCGGTCTCATCTGATTTATTACAAAGTGGACAAGCTTGAAGATCAATCAAACAGTAATCTTCAAGATGGAACGTTCAAAGTCATGTTTCATTACATTATCTGAGGCCAGGCAATATTCATACGTCAAAGCCCGCCTCTTACCAAAAACTTTCAGTAACCGTAAGTGCAGAAACGAGAACCCAGCATCCGTGATCATAATTCATACATGATGATAACGTCGTGATATCATGAATTTCTTTCCTTCTAGACTTGAGCCTTCGCCAAGCAATCGCCATCATTCCCATCTTCTCCAACGCAGACAATACCGTCAAACTTCGCGGCCGCTCGCCGCCCTATGATACTGCTGCGCTTCATGTTCCGGCTTGGCACCTCCTTCTTTTCGTCACCATAGC